AAAAAAAAAAAAAAAAAAAAAAAAGGACGATATATGACGTTATTCACTACAACATTATTTGCAAAAGCAAACGATTGGGAAAACACACAGGCCTACTGTCCCTAGTTCCTGTCCAATACTGGGGGCTCATCTTATTTTTTTTCTTTTCATTTGTGTAATTCCCATCTCTGACAGTGTGACTCTGACTCTCAGCACTGCTACCAGCCTTTATAGACGCTACCCTCACCAGGCATGGGTTCTGACAGCCATGTGTCTCTCCACAGGACACCCTCCTTACCTTCCTTGGGCTCCAACACCTTGTGCTGGGCCCTGTACAGACACCTCCCTCAGTCCACTCAGGCTCTGACGTTGTGCTTGGCCACCGCAGCTGTCCCTCCCCTCAGGCCTTTCAGACTTCTCTTCTCCCAGGGTCTACCAAGCCCAACTCCACCTAATGGCTTTTGTCATTAATTCAGGGCAGAAAGAAGGAAGGGTGAAAGGGTAAGAGAAAGAAAAGGGGAAGAGAATGGGAAGAACCTCTACTTTTTCTAACTAATGATAACATACTATATTTACTGTCCTGCATCTTGCATTTTTCATTCAGTATATGTTGATTAGATAGCTCCTTGTCAAAGACCTTCTTTATTCTTATTAATGGTATCACCGTATTCCACAATATTTTTTTTACATATGCTACTATCTGACCAATACAATCTTTTTTTATGGCGCGCACACACAATATAGTTTTACGGATGAGCTGTATTTCTTTAGTTCTTTAACCAGGCTCTTATGGATTTCGTCAATCTTTTGCTATTGCAAATACTGTTGCATGAGTAACACAATTACTAGAACCCTACAGCAACCTAATATCCTGTAATTTTGCACACATATTAGTTTAACTGTGAGATAAAGTCCTGAAAGTGGGTGACAGGATATATAATTCTGTAATTTTGGTAGATATTGGCAAATAGCTCTTTGCTAGCAATGCATAAGAATTTCTTTAGCTGGGCTCGGTGGCTCAGTCTGTAATCGCGCGCCTTTGGGAGGCTGAGGTGAATGGATTGCCTGAGCCCGCGGGTTTGAGACCCGCCTGGGCAACTTGGTGAAACCTCATCTCGACAATAAATCAAAAAATTTGCCGGGCGTGGTTGCGCGCGCCTGTAGTTCCGGCTACTCGGAAGGCTGAGGCGGAAGGATCGCCGGAGCCCAGCAGGTCGAGGCTGCGGTGGCTGGGAGCGGCCACTGCACTCCAGTCTGGGCGACAGAGTGAGACTCCAACTCAAAAAAAAAAAAAAAAAAAAGAATTTCTTTAACTAGTTCTTTGCATGACAAGGAATTAATAATTTCTGGGCATGTATATGGGTTATAAAACCAAGCAAAAAACCAAACTGAAAACCCCACAAAACCCAAAACAAACAAAAACCCTAACCCAACCAACTCCAAAAAAGAGATAGTAGCAGCTTCTTACTTGTTGCCTCTGAGTATAGAGTCTTCTCATCAACACTCCGAACATTACAGGAAACAAAAAATTTCCTTCCTTCAGCTTTATCAAGTTGGCTATTTATCACAACAACAGAACAAAGAGGGATAGGTCTGTAGGAGAAAAAGAAAGACCAAAAGAAAAAAAAAAAAAATCAGTTTTGATCAAAGTTATATAACACTGAAAGATGATTAAGTGTTGACAAGGTGTAGAATTTTTTTTTTTTTTTTTTTGAGTCAGGGTCTCACTCCGTTGCCCAGGCTGGGTGCAGATTACAGCTCACCTCCTAGGTCAGGCAATTCTTTCACTTTAGCCTCCCGAGTATCTGGGATTACAGGTGCTTGTTACCACATCAGGCTAATTTTTTCTTTTTTTTCTGTAGAGAAGAGGTCTTGCTATGCTGCTGGTGTGAAACTCTTAGGCTCAAGCAATCCATGCCACAGCCTTCCAAAGTGCTGGGATTATGGTGTGAGCCACTGCACCTGGCCAAGGGGTAGAAATTTATGAACAGCTACTGTTCTAAGTCACTGCTGTCCAACAGAACTTTCTGTAATACAAATGTTCCATTTCTGAGCTGTCCAGCATGGTAGCCACACATGCCTACTGAATGCTAGCATAAATGAGAAACTGAATCCTACTGAGTGCTAGCATAAATGAGAAACTGAATCCTTAAATTTATTTAATTTTAATAGCTACATGTGATAATGATTACAATTACCTTTGGGAATCCTGGGGATATAGTTCCAAAATGAAAATGACACCTCTTGAAAGGTGAATTTCAGTTGGCAGAAACAGAAGGTAGAGCATGGACATGTGTTCTGGCTTTATAGTACCACCAAGTGGGTGACAAAACTACTCTGTGTGGAAAGGAAGTTATCACTGTGATCATCTGCCCAGTTTTCCCTCCTATGAACTTTTAATACTCCCACTCTCATGAGCATTTCCTAAGCCTCTTGATGGAACAACCAAGCTTTGCTCTTTTATTGAGCCAATTCAACATTTACTAAGACCCAGGGGACATTAGTGTTTCTGCTGCCCAGCAGCTCCCTTTTCTACTCACAATACTCTCTTCTTTTATTCATCCCCTGCCCCTCACCTCACACTCTCACACTCTCACACTCTCACACTCATACACCCCTTTCTTTGGGGGACTATCTCTCTCCATTCTTAGCCTATGTAAGTTGACTGGAATTGACAGTTGGTCCCCTGCCTTCTCACACACACAGGGACTGGTTGTGTGGGGACAGACACAGGCTGAAACAATCAATCCTGGAGCTTTTGCTGAAGCCCTTGGGGCTCAGTTCTTTTTCTCTGAGGTTGCCGGGCTTATAAGATACAAGGTTGGCTGGTAGCCATTGTGCCACTACATTGGGAAAGGCTACCTGAGAATGAAACAGACACAGAAGAAAGCGTGGCTGAGATTTCTCACTGCATTGCTGAACATCTGCACCCAGCCACACCTGACTTCTTAACCATATAAGTCAATATGTTCCCTTTTTTTGCTTAAGCTAGTGTGAGTTAAGAATTCTATCTCTTGGCCGGGCACGGTGGCTCAAGCCTGTAATCCCAGCACTTTGGGAGGCCGAGGTGAGGGGACTGCCTGAGTTCAGGGGTTCCAGACCAGCCTGGGCAACTTGGTGAGACCTCGTCTCTACAATAAATAAAAAAATCAGCCGGGTGTGGGAGCGTGTGCCTGTAGTTGCAGCTAGCTGGAAGGCTGAGGTGGAAGGATCGCCTGAGCCTAGCAGGTCAAGGCTGTGGTGGTTGTGAGTGGGCCACTGCACTCCAACCTGGGCAACAGAGTGAGACTCCGATTCAAAAACAAACAGTCCCTTGCAACAGAAAGTTCTAGATTAGTACAGAGGCTAACAGAAAGGATCTCGGGAAAATACAAATAATGTAACAATTATGTTTATACAGTATACTTTTCTGAATGTAAATATTTGGGCACAGATCAGTTTGGCTGACATAGAAAACTTGTTTTAAATCATTTTCCTTAGTGATTGTTTGGCTGGACAACTTAATTAGACTTGTACTAGAGGTAAAAAGTTGATAATAAGCCGGGCTCGGTGGCTCAGCCTGTAATCCTGCGCCTCTGGGAGGCTGAGGTGAGTGGATTGCCTGAGCCCGCGGGTTCGAGACCCGCCTGGGCAGTGAGACCTCATCTCTACAATAAATCAAAAAATCAGCCGGGCGTGGTAGTGCACGCCTGTAATTCTGGCTACTCGGAAGGGTGAGGCGGAAGGATCGCCGGAGCCCAGCAGGTTGAGGCTGCGGTGGCCGGGAGCGGCCACTGCACTCCAGTCTGGGCGACAGAGTGAGACTCCAACTCGGAAAAAAAAAAAAAAAAGTTGATAATAAAGATACAAATAAAACTTAAGAATTATAGAGAAAAGAAAAAATATATATATACACATCAGAAAGGTTTAATAAAACCTAAAGATTGCTCTTTAAAAATACTAATAATCTCTGGCAAGATAGATCAAGAAAAATGAGAGAGAGCATACATAGATCCTATTGGGGTCAAAAAGAATATAACTACAGATTAGCTGAGATTAAAATAAAAGAGAATATTATGAATAACCTTATGCCAATACATTTGAAAACTTAGAAGAAAAGGAAAAAATTTCGTAAATATATATTACCAAAATTGACAATAATAGAATAAGAAACTGGGATGGTCAAATAGGCCTCAAGAGGGCAGAGGAGCCACAGGTGGGAAGGAGCCTGGGTGTCTGAATCGCTTCATGGGGGTAAGACTCTCACTGACCAGGATAACCACATGGGACTATAATGTAAGCAGAAAAAGCCTACAGGCTTATGGCAGCAAAATGTAGGGGCTGTGACAGTAGCTAGTGCTACCCTAATTTACTACACATTAAAAAAAAATTATCTTTTTTTTTAACTTCTAATAAGTGGCCAGAGAATTTGGTCTCTAAGATTCCAATTCTTTGAAATGTAGTGAGACTCATCAACCAACACCTGATCAACTTTTACAAACGTGTGCTGGGAAAGAGTAATTTCTGTAATTATTGGATATAGAGTTCTACATTCGTCTAATAAATCATACTTGTTGTCTTGTGGTGTTTGAATCCCATTTTCTAATTGGTTTTGTTTTGTCTTGTTTTAGAGACAGGGATCTCGCTGCTTCCCAGGCTGGGATGCAGTAGCAATTCACAGGTGTAATGACAGTATACTACAGCCTTGAATTCCTCGGCTCAAGCAATCCTTCTGCCTCAGCCTCCCTAGTAGCTGAGACTACTGGTTTGTGCCACTCCACCTGGCTCTACTTTTTTCGTCTGCTTGACTTATCAATAATGGAGAATAGTGTGTTGGAATCTCTCACTATACAGGTGGATTAGTCAATTTCTCACTTTGGCTTACCAATTTTGCTTATATACTTTGAAATTATTTCATTAGGTACATATTGATTTAGAATTGTTACTGCCTGCTATTGAACTGAATCTTTTATTACAAAGTAGCCTCCTCTATCCCAATATTAATTTTTTTCTCTGCTATCTCAGTTTTCCTCTGGTTAACTTTTGCCTAGCCTATCTTTTCTCTCTTTTAAACTTTTTGGTGTCATGTTTCAAATATGTCTCAAATAAAAAGTCTCCAGTTTTTTTACATTTTCAAATTCAATTTTATAATTAATCTTTGACTGATGAGTTGGTCTATTTATATTGAGTGTAATTATGGATTTATTTAGACTTATTTCTATCATCTTATTTTGGTTTTGTATATATTTACTTTTTCTCAACCCTCCTTTTTCCTCTTTCTTGGTTTTTAAAAATATGAGTTTTTTTCTATTTATGTATTTGATTTCTGCTCTTCTACTATTTTAGGCATTAGTTGCACACTCATTTTCATTTATTTTAATCACTCAAAAATACAACACTTGAACATTAACCCCGTTCACCCCTTCTACTGTCCAGTATTTTAATTGTCCTTTTGTTAATCCCCAGAATTAAGACAATATTACTTATATATCGATGCTATTTAGATTTCTGTTATCTACATGTTCACCAATTTATCTGCTCACTATTCTGTCTTTCATCCTCCTGCCTGCTGGATTTCCTTTCCTTCTCTCTGAAGTACATCTTTTAGAAGTTCCTGGGTGTTGTGCTGTTGTTCATTAACTCTCTCCATTTTTATTTAAGTGCGAACACCTTAATTTGCCCTCATCTTTGAACTTTAGTTTTGCTGAGAGCATTTTAGGTTGATAAGTTTCTTTTAGCACTTTGAAGATGTTTTGTTGTCTTCTAGCTTTTACTGTTGCTATTGCTAGGTTTACTGGTTTTGTTTTTGTTTTTTTTTTGAGTTGGAGTCTCACTCTGTCGCCCAGACTGGAGTGTAGTGGCTGCTCCCGGCCATCGCAGCCTCGACCTGCTGGGCTCCGGCGATCCTTCCGCCTCAGCCTTCCAAGTAGCTGGAACTACAGGCGTGTGCTACCACGCCCGACTGATTTTTTGATTTATTTTAGAGATGAGGTCTCGCTGCCCAGGCGGGTCTTGACCCGCGGGCTCAGGCAATCCACTCACCTCAGCCTCCCAAAGGCGCGGGATTACAGGCTGAGCTACAGAGCCCGGCTGGTTTACTGCTTCTAAGAAGCAAGACTGCTCTGTAATGGGTGCTCTGTCTTTTTATCTCTGATTGTTTTTAATATCTCTTTAAGTATTCTCTAATTTCTTTATAATGTCTGTAGGTATGGATCTATTTTTATTTATCTTACTAGATATATGAGGGGGGCCTCCAAAAACCAGAATTTATTGAAAAAAAAGCTATGTATTTTTACATGTTTAACATCAGTCACCTTCAAAGTACTCTTTGATGCAATACACTGATCAAAATGATTTTTCCGCTGCTCAAAACAGCTTCTGAACTCATCAGCTTTGATGCCTTTTAGTGCTTCTGCTATTTTTTGTTTCACCTCTTCCACATTGGCAAAACATTTCCCTCTGAGAATTTTTTTCATCCAGGGAAACAAAGTCACTGGGGGCAAGATCAGGTGAATAGGCAGGGTAGGGCATGGGGGTCATGCCGTCTTTGGCTAAAAACATCTTTAAAATAAAAATTTAAAAAACAACAACTGCTGAACATGGAACACAATATG